ATGTCAACTCCTCTTCTTTATTAATTAACAGGGTGATTTGTATAATTGACCATTTATTTCATTTTACTGTAGTGTTTATACGGCTCATTTGATTTTTTTAATTTTTGCATGATACAGTACACTACTATCAAACATTCGACTGGTATTAGCTAAACTAAAAAATTCCAGGACTGGCTGTGGAAAAATTAATTTAGGGATTCGTATTAAATATTACACCCTGTATATATATATATATATATATATATATATATATATATATATATATTTTTTTTTTAAATACAATAAGTGATTTTCAAACTACATAAATAGCCAATGAAAACGACATATGCGACAATGTTGTCGCACTTTTATTAAATTTTTAGTGAACGAAAGGGTATTAATTTAAACAAATGTTATAAATTTCAAACATTTTAATTAAAATCAGTTCCTACAACATAATCTAATACGTAGAAAATTAACATCTTTACTGTCACTTTGTATTATATCTACGATAGAATCAATTGTTTTTTAATTTTAAATTTTTACTCATAGATCGTATTGGGGCATTATTTTCGATAAATAATCAATTAAATTGATTAAAAAGTCAAACCTCTTGTATGTGTTAGTTTTTGTTGATTGTAAATGATTAAAATTTACGTCAAATAATAATACATTGCATCAACTGTACTAAATAAAAATAAATCTAAAAAAGTTTAAAATGAAGGTTGGCGTTGACCGTTTGACGTTTCTTGATATTTTATACCCATTGTCATTATTGTCATTATCAATTGTTATTTATGTGTACAAGAATACATATTTCTTCTGTCATATCTACGGTAAGTACATTGTGTTAGTTTTGGTAGAGCTTTTGTTACTTTCGTTCAAAATGCCACATCAGTTTTCGACCAGAGAATATGCAGACATAATATTTGTTTATGGATTCTGTAATGGGAATGGTAGGGCTGCTAGTAGAGAATATCGCAGGAGATTTCCTAATCGTCGAACTCCCAGTCATCCAACATTTGGGTCAGTTTTTAATTATTTGCGAGAAAATGGCACTTTTCCTAGTGTAACAACAGAGCGACATGTAGATGAAGCGCAGGAAGATGACATTATGGACGCCGTTACTATGAACCCTACAATAAGCACTAGACAAGTAAGTCGAGAACTCGATGTTACTCAATCAAAAGTAAGTAGAATCTTACAAAAAAATAATCTATACCCATATCACATTCAAATGGTTCAGCGACTACTTACTGGAGATGAGATCGAAAGGTTGGAATTTTGTAGATGGATTAACAATAATCGACCAACGCTATACAGGACACTATTTACAGATGAAGCATAATTTACCAGAGACGGGATAAATAATTCACAAAATTCACATGTGTGGGCAGAAGAAAATCCCCATGCTATTCGAGAACGTCGTTCTCAGTTAAGGTTTTCGGTTAACGTGTGGATTGGTGTCATAAGTAACCAATTAGTAGGTCCTCACTTTTTTGATGGTTATTTAACAGAGCAGGTCTATTTGAAGTTTCTACAAAATATTTTGCCGAATTTGCTTGCCAACGCGAACGTTGCTATCCGAGGGCTGTATTTTCAGCATGATGGGGCACCCCCACACTTTTTACTGGCAGTGAGACAACATCTCAATAATGTTTATGGCAACCGGTGGATAGGACGTGCAGGTCCTATTTCGTGGCCTTCAAGATCCCCTGATTTCAATCCCGTTGATTACCATATTTGGGGACGACATCGAATATTAATAACCGACAATAAATAATTGATAGAATTGTACATTGTCGTAATACTATTAGAAACGATCCCCAGAGTATCCGTAATTCAATACGTCAATTAACAATTCGGCAACAAAAATGTGTACAGGCTGCAGGGTTCCATTTCGAAAATCTATTTTGAATTATTTTTATTTTGTTACCATTATTGTATCTTTTCCAGTTCTAATTTATGGGTTTATCATAACTGTGTACATATTTTTAGTTTTTTTTTTAATTGTTCCTCGTTATTGTTAGTAGTTACTGTTTTTTGTTGTGCAGTTACTCAGTTTATCATTTCAATTAAAATGTTTGAAATTTATAACATTTGTTTAAATTAATTATAGGCTATTCCAAGAATATACGACTGTTTTGGTTTACTGCGACAACGAATATTTTACTGTGCAAGTAGAAGTATGAAGGTCAATTGGTCTAATCATTATTCCAATAAAAATGGTCTACTATAAGTAGTATGACATCTAAACTAAAATTATTTCAGTTAAAATCTACAAATAAATACAATGACGTCTATGAAGCCAAATGTGTTCATCAGACATTTGGGTAAGCTTTCCGTGAAATGTAAACACCAAAGAGGCGTGCCGGGTTTATTTGATATTTTATTACTTTATTAGGTATTATAACTGTAATAAAAAGAAATATACTATTTTTAATATAAATGAAAAGAAATTGGCAGAACGATGGTTCACAAACCAGACAAAGGATCTAATATTTCACTTTGTTAGTTTTAAATATTTGTTTGCTTTGAGTGTATGTACTCTTAAAAGTTCCGAAAGTAACGGGTATAACATACCGGCTATTGATAGTTAAAGTACCGAGTCGTTACAGATATTAAAAAGTAACGAAAATTTATGAAAATTAATAGGTTTTAGAAGATTAAGAGAATAAGTGAATAAGTAAGTTTTTTGTTTTTTTAATATTACATAATTGAATATTCGACTAAAAAATTTACACTATTTGATCACTTAAGTATTGTTACATTTCGTTTAAATCACATAATTCAAAAACCAACTTGTTTACAATGAAATAATTGAAATGAAAAAATATACTCCATGCTAGTAATTATATACTTCAAAATCTGAATTACAACTGTTTTATAAACTATTAACTTTATATTTATATCATAACTTTATATTTAAATCTAAGGTTTATATCTGTCGGAACAGTATTTTAAAAATGGGGAGAATTTACTATTGTACAATTCAGTACATTGGACCATTTAAATTGACACCTTAAGGCGAATTTAAAACAGTCGTATATTCGTGGAATGGAGTATACCTTATAATTTAATACTTCATTATGGTTGTTCTACTTTTGGTAAGATTTGATCGTTCACTAAAAATTTAATAAAAGTGCGACAACATTGTCGCATGTGTCGTTTTCATTGGCTATTTATGTAGTTTGAAAATCATTTATTGCATTTTAAAAAATATATATACAGGGTGTAATATTTAATACCATGGACGTATAAACACAGATGGACTCAGTTGTTTACATAAAATTGTGAAGTCAAAATTATTTGAATAGGTCACATTCTCAGCACCTTCATCTGTTGTCACCTTTTGTTTTAAAATTTCTTATTCGCGAGTCGCTGAAAATATTACTCCGTATTTTATACTCTATAGGTGCTATCAAACCAAAATAATAATTTATTGGTTCGATTAATATATTTAATTGTAATCAAAATATCAAGTGTGCACATAGTGTGCATTATCATTTAATAATAGCGTATAATAGATATCAATCAATTATTTTATATGTAGAAGCACTAAAAACTATTTATAAATGGTAACGATTGTTTACATTTCTCTGTCTTATGGACCTACGTCAAACTTCAAATGCTGTTCCATGTTTGTTTACTTTTTAGAGTAAATGAGGAAAAAGTTATTTTTCGATATTTTGGTTGTATTTTGAGTGATATTTGTGAAAAGTGAAATAAAATAAACGAAATATTTACATCCCGATCTCTCATTTCATTTGTAAGTACATACAATTTACATTATTTAAGATGAGGAAATCAGGAAGCGTGTTTGTTAACATTTTAATAGGCGTACCATTGGGTTTATTCATGTTCATTAATGTATTGAATAAGATATGAGTTCATTAAAATTGTAGACATTTATAAATTGTAAGTAGACATCATCTGATTTAAAAAAATCTGTTTAGTACCTTTTTAATTTAATTTTTCTCATGGATACAAATAAATTAGTGAAATGAATAAAACTCATTTATTTTTCTATGTAGATTTCCAAATAATATTGACGATCGAACTATTTGGGTAGCAAATTAAGGAGAAAACATAAAGATTTTTTATTGTAGCATTATTTTGATACTATTAATAAATTAACTTGAATTCAACTATATTTAATTGTATTAATTTTAAAGCAAATAAAATTGTATTTTAATTTTTCTATAAAGACGTGATTTGTTAATAGTTTTTTTGATAAAAAAACTCTGATTTTTTTTCAATTCTTTGAACGTGTTTTTATACATTATTACTACTTCCAATTTTTAAAATCTGAATAATTACGCGCGAGTAAAAATTCAAGCACGCTTATGCTCATCGCGGAAGCATCACATTCTATCGAAGCTTCAAAACATTGTGTGTTAAAGGTATCTTATTGCTGTGTCCATCTATGTTTATACGTCCATGTTTAATACGAATCCCTAAATTAATTTTTCCAAAGCCAGTTCTGGAATTTTTTAGTTTAGCTAATACCAGTCGAATGCTTGATAGTAGTGTACTGTAGCAAATGAGCCGTATAAACACTACAGTAAAATGAAATAATGGTCAATTACACAAATCACCCTGTTAATTAATAAAGAAGAGAGAATTGACATTTTTTAGTGGCCACATGATATGCTCCCTGAGGGACTCTACATATGGTAGAAGTATATAAAGTTTCTCATGACTCACCCTGTATATTTTGAATGGAATACCTACTGATTAAATTAATTAATTGTTTGCTATGTCAAATTATTGAAAGTTATAAAATCAGCCTAACTATATTTAAATTTATATCAAATTTCAATATAATAATACTTTGTCGTTTACCATACTTATATTATAAAACCACGTGCATAGTGTATTGACCACCAATAATTATTACACCAGCCCAAAAAACATTGAATCATGCAAAATCGTTAAATACAACAATCTATACCGCGCAACTCTTCCGAGGTGGCGCGTATCGGTCGCCTCATATTATAAACTCAGAACGCGTGGCGCACAGTCTCACAAGCGCAATCGTTGTCGACAGACGAAAAGCGATATAGTAACGGAGCTTGTTGACTAGTAAAACTCGGGTTTAAAACATGTCTTCTGAAAAATCGGTTTATCATCCGCACCCTTCGGTGGCTAAAAATGCTTTCGTTTCAAACTTTTCTCAATACAAAGACATGTACCAATTGTCCATTGACAAACCAGAGGATTTTTGGGGCGAAATCGCGAAACAATTTCACTGGGAAACACCGATAGACAACGACAATTTTTTTAGATATAATTTTGATGTTACCAAAGGACCTATTTTTACAAAATGGATGGATGGTGCCTCCACAAATATATCCTATAATTTATTGGATAGAAACATTAGAAATGGACATGGTGAAAAGATCGCATATTATTGGTAAGTGCATTGTTATTATTTTCTTTTTTATTTGATTATTCAGAATTGAAAATACACTCGTAGTTGTAAATTAATATACACCTAAAATTAAATTTTATGAAATATTTCGACAGCATGGCTATTAGAAAGTGCGCCTGTTAGTACTTTAACAATAACCGCCTACAACGCGAATAAATAAATTTGGCGATTTTGAAATATTTCCAATCACCTTTCTCTATATTGGTTTGTTTTGTTAATACATTTGAATTCACTTTCTTCTTTATTAGAAATTCTGTGTACTGGGCCTTCGTTTTTATTTTTATTTTGTTTTAATTGAATAATTTAAATTAATTAATGATAGCACCGCTAACATTGCTTACCTGCACTCGCCTATTATATTTGGAAATCGTTTGACATAAAGGGAATATAAAGGAAATACACCTTTTTACATTTACTTAGTTTTGCCGTAATATTACTATAATATATATATATATATATATATATATATATATATATATATATATATATATATATATATATATATAAAATTTTGTTAACTCACCAAATAAAATTAGTTTTGTATATAAAAAGGCTGCTAACATATTACAAAAGATATTAATATACAAATGTTCTATTCAAATAAATGTTTCTCTGAAATTTTTAATATAATTTTGAAAAAGTTTCTTAACAAAAACAATTGAATTTGTAAATAAAATTGAATAGTTACAAATAACCCTCAATGTCAAGAATACCAACTTAAAAATTTTAATTTTTTACAATAATTATATTCTAAAATTAAAATTTTTTTAAAAAATTCTTTTTTGTTTAGTAACAAAAAAGAAGAGGATTTATTCACTATTGATAGATGCCTGAAAAAATGTAACAAATACATGGAAAATTAAATCAAAATGTGAGATTTTACTGATTTCATATTATATAAACTACATAGAAATAATATAATTATCAATTTTGCTTAGATTTTGAATTTCTGATTTTTGTTTAAATTATTATCACTTTTGCTTATACAAACCATTTCCAAAAAAATTCTTTTAAATTTATTACTTTCACTACATAAAATTTTAATATTACCAAAATCCATAATGTGGTCTTTGTCTATTACATGCTCTGCCAAAGCACAAAATGGTTTCTTCTGCAATAAATTTTGTGAGAAATAATGCGATTTGAGAGATTTCTTCCGGTCTCACCAACGTACTCAGCTTCACACAGATATTTTGTATTTTTTAGTAGCTCTTAATAATAATTGTAAAAACAATTGAAAGCTCGAGTAAAAAAAAATAGTCAACAAATAGCCCCTTTTATTGACTCTAACCCATCCAAAACAGTTTTATATTTTTTCCAAACGAGTCACAAGTACTTCTTTTTTCTTATATATATATATATATATATATATATATATATATATATATATATATATAAATTTGTATGTCCTTTCTGTCTTTTGCTTTTGACTTCTCCTTGTTTATGTTTATACCCAATTTGGTTAAAGCTTTCTTCCATCTTGTTACACTTCTTTGGTTCTCTTCCCACACTGTCGTTTGTGAACTCTTCTGATATCATATTATTAATGATTGATTATCGTTTTATGTATATGTATATAAACATATATATTATATATATATATATATATTCGTTTAGAAAGGGATTTAGTGACCATATGAGTATTAATATATACGGACATCTTGGGTCTTGTAGTCAATATTGGCCTTTAAGTAAAACTCTTTAAGGTTTGCTGAGCTTTCGAGTTTATTCAACTCTTTTTTAAAACATACTAAAAATTAACATAAAAAACTACATTAGAGTAGTAAAGTTGTTGCATCTTCAATAGGTTGACCCGTATGAGGATTGTATTATAAAATTAGCAAAATTACTTAACATATTGACATTAGTACTTTGATTTTCTTTTTCTTTCTGTCAAAACTTATTACTACGATTTCCATGTCTCTTCTATTTTTTATATTTATTTTAGATTAGTTTGGCTGAGGAAGTGTCTATGTTTATGCAAATCTTCATTGCAAATTTTGATATAATATGTAAAAATGTTTCGTTTGCACTTATTAAACAAGCAACAGAGTTTATGTTACTAAGTAATTAAAAAAAAACCAAACACAAATAAAATAAATTTTATCTCATTTGAACTTGGAATAATCCCTTTAACCTGTTTAATTTTTAAAGAACTAAAAAAGGTTAAAAAAGGCAACAGGTGTATGTTCTCAAAAAAAACTGGATAGTGCGTTCTGCTGTGGATTTCAGTTAGTAGAAAGCCCTATTATTTTCGGTATGAAATTAAAATGTTCTATTCACCATTTGAAATTATTGATAGCACAATTTTTATGACACTGCTAATTTGCATTTTATGTTTAATTGCATTAGAAGTTTTCGGGGTGGTCATATTGTTTTAGTAAATTTTTAATTAAAAAATTTTGAAATATCAAGGAATATCCTTTTTCTTTAAATTTCATGTGCTTCTTTATATTATATAGAAATATAGCTTGTATCTTTTGTCATTAATTTTTCAAATACTTTTTGTAAAGAACCAACAAGTTTTTTATTTACGCTATTTATTTAAATTCATTCATGGAACAAGAATAATAAGTAAATATTTTCTTATCTACAAAAGGCATTTAAAAATTAGTTAAAGATAAAGTGTTATATTATGGGAAAACATAGGTACAAAATTAATGTAAATATAATACCTAATAGCCTACTAATAGGTTCATAATGAGGAAATTGTGAAGAAATTAGTTGTGTCGTTAAATTTTTGGTAAGACCGTTTCGATGGCCCTCTAGTCTTTTTGTATAATTAATGCAACATTTTTCATTTTGTCAATGGATGGCACCTGTAAATTACGTACAATAATGCAGTTTGCTGCGGAAATATTTCAATACAGTCGAAAGTTGAACCCTACAGTAACGCTAGGCGCATATACATCGAAAATGGATGGTCGATAAAAGTTCGATGGAACAAATTCCATTGGTGGCGCGAAGAAACAATGTGAGCGTGTCTACGCATCGATCACCAAATGGCACGGCATCGATGCCATGTGGCGTTTGATCACTGCCACTGCGCTGACGAACCTTTGTGGAACAAACGTCATCAAATAAATTTAATGTCGTGTAGTGTGCCTGTCGATTTCTGGCAACTTATCTCATCTTCTGACTCTTAGAATATGTAGGTCTTCTTCCACATAATCAATCCATCTCCTTCGTGGTAGTCCTCGACTTCTTGTGCGCTTTGGTTTTGGAAATGTTAATCTCTTCGTTTATTCGTGATCTGACATCCTAGCAATGTTTTCAGCCCATCTAAAACAAATTTCACAATATCTGGATCGGTGTATAACTGATAGAGTTCAAAGTTGTATCTTCGACGCCATAGCCCATTTTTATTTAAGGCCCAAAAATCTTTCTAAGAATTTCTCTCTCAAAAATACCAAGAAGTACTTTATCGTTTTGAGATAAGGTCCACGTTTGCCATATACCAAAACGGTCATTTATTGGAGTAACACTAATTAAATAATTTTTGCAAGGCAAGACCAAGTTGGTTCCTTTGTGTATGCGTGGTTAGTCTTCTGTACCGGTGTAAGTCAAGATATTTTTTTACAATTTCTTTGTAAAATTTGCTTCTTGATTAAGGTAACGGATGGATGGATGGTTAGTTTCCCCGTTAATTTCTCGTCCTTCACGACCACATCTAATATTTCGATTCTTAGTTTTGATTTTGTTTATAAAAATAATCTTGGATGTTAATATTAAATCATTTGTATTATGTGACAAAATTAAGTGGCAATGATTTACATTAGTTTTAATGATTATATTGTAGTTTGTTTAAATATTTTATAATTATGATTAATTTATAAAAATGTATCTGAACATTGCTCATATTATGATTACTAAGATGCACTTTTTTACTTGACTAGTAATTATTTACTGTAAACTTTTTTATTGGATAGGTGAATCGTCCAATCGAAAGAAATGTCGTTCCAAATACTTTAAAGCCGCCAAATCTCATGTGTAATTATCTGGTGGGTATATTTAAAGGAAATATTTCGCTTTAATCACCATAATAATCCAATCTGACTAGAAGCGCAGCGTCAATTATTTCAGCCGCTTCATTCAGTGATCAACTTACCTATAACCCAACAAATAATTGAAGAGGGTGACTGATTCGCAAAACTACCGGTCAACTGTTGAGAATTTCCATAACTCCAGTGGCGTCGTTATTTCATTATTGTTCTTAGGTTTGAATTTTATTACAAATTAATTCCATCGGAATGTCTCTGTTGGAATCTTTGTAGGTCGTTCTGTAATTTTTTTAATTGCCCAAGTTTCATCTGAATATTTTCGGAGCATAGGTACTTGACGTTCTAGAAATATTGCTTTTCTCTGAATTAAATTTCTTAAATATATCAATGAACAATGATTCGTTACGTAAAACTGTAATGTCGTTTTACGAATTTTCCATCTCATTAACACAATAATCGGCTAATCTCTAGTGTCAAAAAGGAAATATTCTTTTAAGATAATATTACCATCAAATTTTTACTTGTCCTCATATTACATTTTTGTCGATTAAAGAAAATTTAATGATCTGGTATTATACATGTATATTATGAAAATTAATAGCATGTAAATAGTTACTAGGTAACATTGTAATTTAAAACATCCGGACAGTTTTTTTTAAGCAATGTTTAACTTACCGTTGCTCTTATAATATCGACGGGTAAATTTGTGTTCGATTGTTCCCTATAATAGTTTTACTGATTCAATACTCGTTTTGTTAATTACATTTTTATTGTAAGGTACGACAAAATAATAAGTTAAACTAGGATGATTTGCAGTATATATTTTTTTTTTCGTAAAATACAAATGGATGTAGTAAATAGTACAAGTACACGACATTCTACGCTATATACATGTCTCACAGAAGGAAAAACAAATTATCTGGAAGGTAGACGGTGGATTAAAATAATAATATTTGTAACGTGAGCTCTTAGTCATTGTTT